TCTTATTTTTTTTCAGATGGCAGGGAGAAATAAATATATGGTTAAACTTCTCTTTCTAATATCTGGAGGTTTTTTGTATCTCTATGCATTTCCCGTGTTACTCTTCTGAATTTATGTTTTACTGATGATTGGAGCTGTTTTGTTATAAAGAAACAAGTCAACAGGAGTTTGACAAAGGCTTTATCTTTAATTCCATAGGAGGACACCAAGCAGCAGACCATGTTGGACCTTTTCCAGAAGATTTTCTCAGAGGATATAGAGGAAATGGACGAAGCCTTCTTTGGGGAGGCAGTGGAGACATGTGAAGATTCTGGGCAGGAAAACTCATTGAACAATAGAGAAGGATATTTTTTCTCAGCAAGTCCATGCAAAAAAAAGCGTACTCAATAATCTCCATTGATACAAGTGTATTATAGAACATTATATAATTATGCTTATTTTTATTAGTTAAATTGTTATTTAAAGAGAAAAAAAATCAGTGCCATCAGGGAATTATTTGGTTTCTCAAATAAACTATGTTTAAATGTAGAATATATACATATTTATATAATAAAACAAATCTCTATTTTACTCAGTCACTTGTAGTTCAAAGCTCTGCATGCTGTAACATAATGGAATTTGAATCTCAGGTAACTGTATTTTCAGATTGAAATTCTAATCCTATCAACTATTGAAAAACAAACTTTAATCATAAGAGTTCCAAAAGTTCCTGGATCGTCTATCCAAATATTTACTTTAAAGCAATATTTTTTTCCTCAGGATACCCCAGAGGATCAACATAAATAAAATATTTTGCCAGTGCAAACCGGAATTTGGCCAAAATTTGAACACTACAATTTGTCAGATAATTTCACTGATTGATTTTTGTTCAAATTTTAAATATTGGGTGTTCAGTAAAGTAAGCAATACGTGAATGTTTTTTTAGGTGTTTTCAGAACAGTTAGTGGATCCGTAAATTTTTTTGAAGGAATATATGATGGGAGGAAAAGTTAATATTAAGAATATAAATATCAAGCAAATAAATATACAATTAAAAATAAATAATTATTCTTAATAAACATCCAAGAAAAAAAGTATTCCTATTATTAATTCATATTAAATTGAATAGAAGAGCCAGTTCATAGTCATAGTTAAGGCTAGAAATCAGAAGGCTGTGACTTGGGCTCAAATATAGTTCTATGGCTTGGGCCATTCACTCTTTCTCACCCCTAGAAAGGGAGCAATGGCAAATCACTTCTGAAAAACCTTGCCAAGAAAACTGTAGGGACTTGTGCAAGCGAAGTCCAAGAAGAATGAGGAGTGAACGGAAGGGGAAACATATTTTAATGGGCTTCTTTGAAAATTGAGCACAAGTTTGCAGTTAAGCCCTTAATTAAAACTTCATTTAAAAGGTATAAATCTCGAGTTTAACTGAACAATTAGCCAAAACCAATATATAGCTGATAGTTTAGATCCTTTCCCTACATACAATGAAATATTTTTTTAAAAAATATTTTTATTAATTTTCTTTTGTTACATCGTAAATCATCATGGAATCAACAACATTCTTGGCATCTATACAGGTTTTGGGTTTAAATATCATAATACATTATATTACATTTGTCTACTATTAAATAATAGCTTTAACTATGATTACTATTCTTATATCTTTATACAATTTACAAAATTTTATTTTACTTTCTTAAGGATTGTTTCAATTAACATTTTTGTCTCACTTCTTAGTTCTGTTTGTTATCCATTCATACCAATTGTTCCAAATTGAAAAGAATTCAGAGTCGTCTTTTTCTTTCAATTTCATTGTTAACATATTCATCTCAGCACTTTCTGTTACTTTGTGTATTATTAGTTCTTCATTAGGGGTATTTGGGTGTTTCCCATACCTGCACAAAGGCTATTCTGGTGGCTGTTGTAATATATAACAATAAGTATTTTACTTCTTTCGGTAATCTTCTTTGATGATTCCTAAGGGGAAGGTTTCCGGTCTGAGCTCAATCTGATAACCAGTGATCTCTTGTAACCAATTTTTTATTTGAATCCATTATGTCCTGGCCTTGGGGCACAACCACCACATATGATAATATGCACCATCAACCTTTTTACATTTCCAACATTTGGGACTCATGTTGGGGTAGATTTTTGCCAATCTCGTTGGAGCTAAATACCATCTATAAAACATTTTGTACATATTTTCTTTGTATGTTGCAGATACCATTAACTTATAATTTATGTTCCATATTTTCTTCCATTCCTCTAATTCTATAGCGTATCCAAAATTCTGTGCCCATGCAATCATTGTGCTTTTGACTATTTCCTTTTCCATTTTAAAATCTAATAAATATTTGTATATTTTAGTTATAAGTCTTTGTTCCAGTCCCATTAATATTTAATTGGTTCTGCCCTTTGTCAAATCCAAAATCTTTTAAGTCTTTTGTATATTTATTTTGAATTTGCACATATGGCCACCAATCGATTATGATTCCATTTTCCTTCAGTTCTTGGTTTGATTTTAATTTTCCTTGACTATCTAATAATTCTTCATAGCTTACCATTTTCCGTAGGTCTAATCTATTTAGATGGATTATGGCTTCCATGGTTGACAGCCATCATGGGATTTCCATATAGTGTTTGCCTTTGATATTTTTCCAGTGTAATCAATGAATCTTTTATTCGGTGGTGATTGAAATAGGTATGTACATTACTTTTGTTTTCCCACAAAAATGCATGCCAACCTATCAGGAGGTCATGTCCTTCTAATGTTATGATTCTCTTGTCTTTTAATTTAACCCAATCCTTAATCCAATTCAACACCGCTGCCTGGTAATAAAGCTCCCATTCTGGTAGTCCAAGACTGCCTCTGCTATTATCTTATAATAGTTTCAATTTGATACGTGACCGCTTGCCCAACCAGACAAACTTGGCATAAAATAAAATATTACTGGCACAGTCAATTGCTGTGACTCTTGTGATGTTGCCTTCATCTTGGCTTCGGCTTGTGAGTGACAGGCTTAAATCATTCTGAGCTGTACCACCATTGAAATAATACTTTCTCTTTTATGAACTGGGTGGATGACTGAGAATCTCTATAGACATCTATGGGCTTGTTATTTTTACATGATAAAATACACTGCTCAAAAAAATAAAGGGAACACAAAAATAAGACATCCTAGATCTGAATGAATGAAATATTCTTATTAAATATGTTATTCATTACATAGTTGAATGTGCTGACAACAAAATCACACAAAAGTTATCAATGAAAATCAAATTTAGCAACCCATGGAGGTCTGGATTTGGACTTACACTCAAAATTAAAGTGGAAAATAACACTACAGGCTGATCCAACTTTGATGTAATGTCCTTCAAGCAAGTCAAAATGAGGCTCAGTAGTGTGTGTGGCCTCCACGTGCCTGTATGACCTCCCTAAAATGCCTGGGCATGCTCCTGATGAGGTGGCGGATAGACTCCTGAGTGATCTCCCACCACACCTGGACTAAAGCATCCCCCAACTCCTGGACAGTCTGTGGTGCAATGTGGCTTTGGTGGATGGAGCGAGACATGATGTTCCAGAGGTGCTCAATTGGATTCAGGTCTGGGGAACGGGTGGGCCAGTCCATAGCATCAATGCCTTTGTCTTGCAGAACTGCTGACACACTCCAGCCACATGAGGTCTAGCATTGTCTTGCATTAGGAGGAACCCAGGGCCAACCGCACCAGCATATGGTCTCACAAGGGGTCTGAGAATCTCATCTCGGTACCTAATGGCGGTCAGGCTACCTTTGGGGAGCATATGGAGGGCTGTGCGGCCCCATAAAGAAATGCCACCCCACACCATTACTGATCCACTGCCAAACTGGTCATGCTGGAGGATGTTGCAGGCAGCAGAACGTTCTCCACAGCATCTCCAGACCCTGTCACGTCTGTTACATGTGCTCAGTGTGAACCTGCTTTCATCTGTGAAGAGCACAGGGCGCCAGTGGCAAATTTGCCAATCTTGGTGTTCTCTGGCAAATGCCAACCGTCCTGCATGGTGTTGGGCTGTAAGCACAACCCCCACCTGTGGACGTCAGGCCTTCATACCACCCTCATGGAGTCTGTTTCTGACTGAGCAGCCACATGCACATTTGTAGCCCTCTGGAGGTCATTTTGCAGGGTTCTGGCAGTGCTCCTCCTGTCCCTCCTTGCACAAAGGCGGAGGTAGCAGTTCTGATGCTGGGTTGTTGTCCTCCTACGGCCTCCTCCACATCTCCTGATGTACTGGCCTGTCTCCTGGTAGCGCCTCCATGCTCTGGACACTACACTTACAGACACAGCAAACCTCCTTGCCACAGCTCGAATTGACATACCATCCTGGATGAGCTGCACTACCTGAGCCACTTGTGTGGGTTGTTGACTCGTCTCATGCTACCACTAGAGTGAAAGCACCCTCAGCATTCAAAAGTGACCAAACCATCAACCAGAAAGCATAGGAACTGAGAAGTGCTCTGTGGTTACCACCTGCAGAACCGCTCCTTTATTGGGGATGTCTTGCTAACTGCCTATGCTTTCCATCTCGTCTATTCCATTTGCACAACAGCATGTGAAATTGATTGTCAATCAGTGTTGCTACCTAAGTGGACAGTTTGATTTCACAGAAGTGTGATTGACTTGGAGTTACATTGTGTTGTTTCCTTTATTTTTTTGTGAAAAATGTATCGGCGTCCACAAAGATAAGCACAATCCTAGCCATTTTTCTATACTAAAAGTATTGTTTATAAATAAATACGGTGTGTTCTATCGTGTTTTTTCAAAACAAAAAGAATCGCATTTCAACAATACTTATTACACTTGCATGAAGGGGGCATTGCGGGGTGGAAAAAAACCGAAAACACGGGAGGCTAATTTTTGCAAGTATCAAAGAAGAAAAAAAGGCGGTCTACCAAAGTAGTTCCGCCAAACATCAAACGGAGCGAAAAGGAAAAGTCAGACTCTATCGTTGTTCACGTGTGTGTGCGCTTTTCCTTCCGGTGTCGGCTCGGCCAATGCGCAGGCGCAGAAGGCATTTCCTCCTTTCTCTCTGCGGCCCCTTGGAGGAGCAAGATGGTGAGTGGAATTGCAGTTTGTATTTATGTTCGTTTTCATCCGCTGCCATCTTTCCTGTTCCTCGCGTTTGCGGGGCCGGCGTCTGAGAATATGTGGGATGAAATACATGGGGAAACGATATCTGGGGATACTGGGGGAATATTGGGGGATGATCCTGGGGCCGACTCGTCAGAAACTGCCGGGTAGAGTCGGCTTCGGTGAGAATCGCGTTAAGTATGTGAATCAGGCGGGACTGTAGACGCTAAAACATCAAACTTTCGCCTTTGCTCCTCTCTCCTTTCTGCAAAACGGCGCTTGAATGGAAAGCACTTAATTTGGGGGTAATTGATTTCTTCCTTCGCATGCAAGTAAGTGTTGATTTTGGTGCAAAAGCACTCTTGTTGCAGGAGGTAGCTGCTATTGACATTACCGCCGCTTAACACTTTTTTAAAAAAAATCGTTCATTATTTGTGGCTGAAGCTTTCCAATTTCAAGTACAGATTAAGTGCTTTAGCAGCCATTCTGTTGTTCGTTATATCCTTCTTCGCTCTTCCCCTTTTTTTCCTCATAAATTTTCCATCAAGTTTTAAATCTTTTTTTTTAAGGTTTCTATAGGGAGAAAGAAATAGGTTTGTAAATACTCGGAGCCCTCTACCAGTCTTAATTTGTAATACTGAGAGATCAGTCACTATCCAGAAGCAATTTGTATTGGGGTCTGGAGTTAGGGATAATAGTTGAACTGACATACAATATTTAGTACATTTTGGGTAATGAGGCAGCAAGTATGAATATTCTGTTATGTAATAGTTAATATGCAATAAAATTATATAATTATGTTACTGCTATTATGCATTTGTCATCTTAAATCAACAAAAAGTTATCCTGTTAGCTGTGCCTCTTGGTTATTTGGGTGAAGTACTGTGATTAGTATCTCATATTGATTTGAATGAAAATTATGTTAAACTTACTGAGATGGAAGCAAGCAAATATTGAGTTAGGCTGGTCAGATATGTTTTCCCCAATATTTAAATGTGCTTAGCTTGGTAATTGTTTGTTTCTTTCAAATTGCACATTGAGTTCTTGCCTCATTTCCCCCCCCCCCCCAACTCTGAAGTGGATTAAGTTGAAAATGTTGGTTTGTAAAAGATTTACATGCGGACAAGCTATGGTTTGAACAGATTAAACAAAAACAGTTTGTAATTCAATGTGGCATGCAAATGCACAGTTATATTGTGAAATTAATGATCAAGTGAAGACCTTGGCTTTTCCTACAATCCATACTTGCAATAACACTTACACCATCTTTCATTCTATGTACTTACCTTGATGAGAACAGATGATGGTAATAGAAATGAAAAATGTGACACTTTTGTTGCTCTGTTGTAATAGGCCAAGCGTACTAAGAAGGTTGGGATTGTAGGTAAATATGGTACCCGATATGGAGCTTCCCTCAGGAAGATGGTGAAGAAAATTGAAATTAGCCAACACGCTAAGTATACATGCTCCTTCTGTGGAAAGGTAAGACTCTATAGCAGCAAATGTATGAAAATATTGTTTTTAATTAGAGGGTGTCCATGTCTTTTTAGCTTTTTAAAGAGATTAGTTATTCCTGGGAGACTTGTTTTAGATATAAATTTATGATATTTAGGAACTGATTTTTTAAAAATGCCTACACTAATGTGCCACAGTTTGGGTAGTTTTTAGTTCTCTGAGGTGTTTGAAGATGTTCTGAATCCTCCAGAATGAAATAATAAGGCCATTTCTGTGTAAAACCTTGAGAATGTATGGATAGTTTGTGTTTTATATAGGGATTTCAGTTACAAGAAAGAAGTCTGAGTTGGACCTAATCCATTCAATCTAAATCATTCTTTCATATTGGTTCCTCCCATATGTCTTGGGACTGCAGTTTATTAAGACTTGTCTTGGTAATTGAGAACTAAAATTCCTATGGAAAAGGAAGAATCTGGAAAAATGCTTTACCTTCAGTCTTCTGCTCAGTGTACAGAATGCTTCTAAAACTTAGTAGGGTGCTGTCATAATATTGTAGGAACTAGCTTGCTTAGCCATACCATTTATTGTGCTTGGAATTTTTACATTGGCTATCTGCTTGAGGAAATTTTACGTTCTTCAAAGTGGAGTTAGCAAAATCCTTTCTGCTTTGTTAATAAAACTGATCCATATGAACTATATAAAAAAACAAGGCATTGTAGTGTTTCTTATTGGAGCAGTTCTACAAGAGAGCTTTAAAAATAGTTGCTAAAAGAGAGGAGCAGTAATCCTGGTAACTTCTTTGCTCCCAAGGCATCGGTAGGAGTCATTATGTGACTCCTATCACTTACTTGCTGCACTCTGGGATGTGCTATGGCATATGACGCATGCTTCTGTATGCAAGTATTGCCAGTTGGTTCACATGGTTCAATTTATTAAAACATAAATGTGTGCAGTTAGGAAATGTGCATTAGAACAATTGAATATGTAGTTTGAATACTTACCCAAATGGGGAAATATTTTTTTCTTACAGACCAAAATGAAGAGGAAAGCAGTGGGCATTTGGCATTGTGGCTCATGTATGAAAACAGTGGCTGGTGGAGCTTGGACCTACAAGTAAGAGAACAGCACATGTTTAGACTTAAGTTTTGAGTGAATGTTCCATTGTTATCTATGGTGGGGTATGCTGTTATAAACTGAGGGAAATACTCAAATGCAATTGATAGATTTTTCTTTGGTTATTGGGATTGAAATGACGTGATGGAGGGTATTTGGGGCCATGGTAGAAGTATATACTTTTAATTATTCTATTTTTAGTTGATTAAGGGCACTGTTGGGTTAGTCCTCTTGCCCCTTTCTGGGATGAGTAGTAGTATTCTATGGTAGGTACATTTCTGAATTGTGGCCAAATTCTTGGCTCTAATAAAAATACTTTTGTTTCTTCCAGCACCACTTCAGCAGTGACAGTGAAATCTGCCATTAGAAGACTGAAGGAGTTAAAAGACCAGTAGAAATATGTTCTTGTTTGAATGCTATCTTTTATCTCATGCCTCACTATCTCCCAATTAAACATGGCTGTGAAAATGTATCTGTATGCAGTTGTGTCAGTACTGGTTTTCTGCAAGCCTAGAGTATACACGTTCCTTCCCATCATTCCAGATCCATTTATACAAAAATAGGAAGGCAGCACATAAATGTTGTCGTAGTAATATAAATGCAGAATTAAAATTTTAAGGACTCTCACATCATGCTGAATTAAACTATTATGTTGAAATCAATGTTTAATACTGATCCTTCAGTTTTATTTATAATCTGTGAATCCTTAGAAGTAATTTTTCAAAAAGAATGAGGAAATACCTGCAGAATACAGATAGTTTTTGACTTACAACACTTCATTTAGTGACCATTCGAGGTTACAATGGCACATATATGATTTAAGACTGTTTTTCACATTTATGACCATTGCAGCATCTCAATGGCCGTGTGATCAAAATTCAGTCACTTAGCAACTGACTTGTATTTATGGCAGTTGCCTTGTCCCAGGGTCATGTGATGTCCTTTTACAACCTGAAAAAATAAATGGGGAAAGTAAATTCACTTAACCGTGTTACTAACTTTACACCTTAACTACTATGGCAAGAAAGGTGGTAGAATGGGTGGTAGAATTCCCTTAACAAATGTCTCACTTAACAAATTTTAGACTCTTGTGGTTGTAAATCAAGGACTATAATTTTCAGGATCATTAATTTGCAGTCCTTTATATTTGGAAACAGGTACCTATTAACTATTTGCTTTTGAAGAGAGATGAATAAAGATTTTCTCATTTAATGTTGCTATTTTGAGGAACAAAGGAGGAAAGTGGGAGAAAAGTAGATACAGGTAGTGGAGTATGTAAAGAAGTCTCTTGTTTCAAAAGGATGATTTTGAGTTTTCAGCAAAAATCTAGAAGTGCTATTTGTATTTGGCCTGCAGTTGTTTTTCCAAGTAAATGGAATGCTGGAAAGAAATTATATAAAATGGCTCAGAACTTTGCCCATCATCAAAAGAGCAGCATTAAGTGAAATATGTTGCAGGAAAGCCTGGGGGCATGAAAAAAATTGAAAATTGGCTGGGTTTGGTTTTGTGGGAGGGAGGAGGATGTAGAGAAAAAAATAGTAAGAAAGATCAGTACTAGCTTGGATGCTATCCACTGCTTTTAAGTTTCTCTCTACTGATTACATAACCTAAAGTATACCATATGCATCTTGTGCTTTTCCTGGTGCACGCATATACTACAGGTAATTTTCACTTGTGATAATTAGGGCTGTGAACTGTGACACTAAGCAACACAGTCATATGTTGTAGGGCTATAGTGGCTTACATTGGGAATTCTGGCACTACTAATTGCCATTAGGCAAATCCCATGCAGTTGCAGCATCCCATAGTTGCACAATCAATGTTTCCAACTGCCTGCTGACTTCCCCATTGATCCTGCTTGCTAGCTGGCAGTAAAGGTTACAAAAGGCGATGATGCGACTGGGATATAACAGTTGCCTGAATTGAAATTGTGATGGGATGCTGTAACAACTGCAATCATGAGGACCCAGTAAGTACTTGTTCACGGCTGTGGCAACTTCAAACAGCGAGCAAGTAGATATTAAATGAAGGTTACTGTATATACATGATTCAGTAACAGGAAGGGAGATCAGAAACAAAAAATGCAAAACCTTCCGTGGCTGCTGGTTGTACAAAGGGCTGGGAAGAAATCCTCAAGCAGGTTTCATTATGCTTTCCCAAAGGTTTCTTAGAGAAATCTGACCTTAAAACAAGTATCAAATAGACCCTGACTACTGAAGATCCTCACATAATAGTCAGCTCAGTTCTAAGATTAAGGCATATTCCAGTTTTGCTCAACTTCTAAACTGATAAGTGTGTTAGATAATCTATGGAGATTCTCAATCATCCAGGTCATGGTTGTCCCAAAGGTGCTTTTTCAAGAGAACTGGACTTTGTTTTTTCTTTGAAGTCACTTCACTTCTCCAAGAAGCTCAGAGCTGAAGAAGCTTCTTGGATGAGAAGTGAAATGTCTTCAAAGAAAAACCAGAAAGTCCAGTTGCCTCTTGAAAAAGCACCTATGAGTCTTCCTGATAGAAGGCATTTGTTTCCACCATAGTAGATAGTTTCAGGATGTAAGGCTTAATCATTTCTGATGTTTAATGAGAAAATACTGTTAACAAAATATCTTTTTAAGCCTGCCGTTGTGTATAGTAGCTACAGCTGTTGATCTAGCATGGATTAGCAACCCACAGGCTACCTGAAATCATCCAGTTCACGCACCCCAAAAGAAATACATTTACCTGGCCTGCAAGAGAATGAGTGCTAATTACTTCCTTGGGTTGCCATTTTAACAATAGCTTCACTTTTAAAAGACCGGAATATTTTTTTTTTGATTATGTAGATTATGTGCTTTTTTCCTGAAAAACCTTGCTACCATCCTAGCTGAACCTTCATGTACAAGTTTTGAAGTATTGTTTAAAACTAGTTGCCTGAGTCATCTATGATCATCAGCTATAGTTATACCATTTTTTTTAAAGGATGGCTCTAGATCAGTTGAAAATTATAGACCAATTTTGTGTTGTGTTACATGCAAAGTTTTGGAATCAATTATAAACCAATCCATCGTTCACCACTTACAGACAAATAATTTGTTAGCCAACAAACAGTTTGGCTTTAGGAAAAACTCATCCTGTAATTTACAACTTTTGCACTGTAAAAACATCTGGACTACATGTCTTGATCAAGGTAAAGCTGTTGATGCAATTTACATTGATTTTTGTAAGGCTTTTGATACAGTAGTACATGATAAACTGCTGTTGAAATTAAAATCTTATGGCATTTCTGGACCTTTGCACAAATGGATTGCTGCTTTCCTGTCTAATACACTGCAGAAAGTCAAAATAGGGACATGCTGTCTAATCCTGCATCAGTTAACAGTGGTCTGCAAGAGTGTTTTAGGTCCCACGGTTTTTTTGCTGTATATCAAAGATTTATGTGATGATCATCTTAAAAGCAACTGTTCTTTTTGCCGATGATGTAAAATTATTCAATTCTACAGATAATTCTGTTTTGCAAAGTGATCTCGACTATGTGTCTGAATTGGTCATCTATTTGGCAACTTTAAATTTTGATTAATAAATGCTCGGTCTTACATATTGGTAAACATAATCAAACATGTCAAGGTGACATTGATCTAGGTGGCATTTAACCTAGGTGGCATTGATCTAGCAGATGACCCTCACTTTGTTATGGACCTAGGTGTACTTATCTCTGATGATCAATGCTCCAAAGTTCACTGTAACAGTGTTAAGTGCACTAATGTGCTTATTGTCCCTGTCGTATTTTTATTCTCGTATTCTTGTTCTCACTTTTGTTTGACAAATGTCAATAAATAAAATAAATACATGTTGACAATGTGCTAGCTAGTCTTACAAAGATTTATAAAAATGTTAGGAATAGACTCAGTCTTCTATTCTTATGAGGTCAATAAAATGATGGCCCAGTTTGTTGGGGGAAATATGCTGATGCTAAACTGTCAACCGCTTCAAGAATGCTGTAAAGCTCTATGAAGCAGTATATATAAGTGCTATTGCTATATAAAAAAAACCCTAGATATATTATGTAACAAACACTGATTACATACATCAGGGTGTCAACTCATGGCCTGCAGACTGGATGCATCACAGACTGGCCACGTCCACCCCCAGTTTATCAAAGGTGGGGGTAAAGTTGCGATACATCACGTGACAAAAATTTGTCATTGCGAGTTTGACACTCCTGACATACATGAATGAAAGGTGGAGGTTGTGGCCAGGAGCTCAGCCCACTCAATACCAGCCAGCCATTTACCCAGCCAAAAAATACCTGTGGAGGGTGCTTGCTACGAATCGCTCTCCCTTGTGAGGTACAGTGTAAAGGAAGTGTTTTCTTCAGCAGCTCCCCACCAGTGGTATGCCCTCCCACCAGGAACAATAAAAAAGATTGTGCTCTCACTTTTAATTTGGGAATTCAAAAATAGTGCTCTAAAAATGCTTTTAAGGCATATATTTGGGGATTGTGGCAGGACTAGGCAGAAGTGTCTACTATGATTGCTACGATGATGAACAGTGCTATGTTGTGATTATATTAGGATTGTGTGTTTAATGTGTTGACATTTGATTTTTTTTTGTAAGTAGTGCATACTGAAGGTAGTTACGGAGTACTATCGTTTTCATAATGATCAATTGTACATGAAAAAATGCAAGGCAATGCTGAGTTGCAGTAACAGGCTACAATTTTGCAAGCGGCCTCATGTCGGTGCTGTAGTTCTACCAAATCCATTTCTCTCTAGCTGTAGTTCTGTCCCTGCTTTCAGGTGTGGCATCTGGTTTCATGAACATGGATAATATATAATGCGAATTCTAACACTGCAGCTGGGAGTTTCTTGGGAAGATGCTAAAGAGGACCTAGAGATTTTGCTCACTGCTTCCATCCCTCTGCGTGGAAAAAGGCATATATGGCTTGCCTAGAACTTTAATGTACATACAGACCTAACTTTTAAAAGTAAAATGCAGTCGCCCTTTACTAGGTTTGAACAAATCCTAACCTGGACTACTCAGGGTTTACTTTTCTGCCTATTGTAGCGCAACTTTTAATGCAATTGTGGGTCCTTAAAGCAAAGTGTTTTAAATCTCATATAATGGCATATTTATAGTCTATTAAAAGACCCTAAGACTAAACCATCCAAACAGAATCAAACCTGGCTGGGTAATCAATCCACTGTTGAGATCATGAAGTTGATACTTTTGGCCAATGTGGTTTACTTTTGCAAGAGTTAAGTTAGGGGTCCCAAACACTAATATCACAAATCCTGAGCTAGTTTATTATCCCAGGAACTGCAAGACTGAAGGCTTTTTGTGAGTTGCTACAAAAGTCTCTAATGTGTCCAAAAAACCCCCCAGCTTAATGGGTAACATTATATATTTTGAACAAAATCAACCCTATTCTAAATTACTTACAAATCCTACATGAAATCCAGTTCGGAAGCAGATAGCAGTTGACCACATACATCTACATTTAATCTATTAACAAATGCTTTAATTCAGAAATGGTAAGTTTAAATAGATAAAACAACAAAGCACACTTTCTAAATGGCTTTTTGAGCAAAGAAATTTAGTTGATTTGATTAGGAAACTTAGGAATGACATAAAGCACACACAAAGGAAAGTTATTCAGGGCCCAGTTCATTGCACAGTGTTAATGTGAGGAAACTAAATGGAGGGAGGACCATTAGATAGTTTTCTGCATTGACTTATTTATAAAAATAATAAAGATGAGAAAAAAATAAACAAGATACCTTTAATTCCAAGGAATGTTTTTCTCTGATTACAATATAATAGGCATCTGCCCTCTTCATTGGACTATTGCAACACATGCTACATGAGATTGCCATTAAAGATTACCTGGAAGCTTCAATTGGTGTAAAATACAGTGACCTATATCCTACTCAAGCACCTGTGAGTATAGTATCTAGGTCACCATATATATCCTATTCCTTTGCAGGCCAGCATGAGCTTCTATTTAGCTTCCAGGTGAATAAATCAAAGGAGAACAAATCCCACTCCCTATTAACACTAATGGTGTTGTTTAGTTTGGCAATGAAACGTTTGCAAGAAAACAGCTAAGCTCAGACAGCATCAACGACCCCGCAGTTCAACCCTGTACTACAAATATTCTCTTCTATTGATAGCTTCTGAGTACAAGTTAAATTGTTGGTTTTAACTCAAGAAGCCATTAATTGCTTGGCACCAAGTTGCTCATAGGAATATAAATCTTTCATTATTGCTTTATAACTCTTATGCTTTTCAAAAACACCCATAAAGTTGGTTGAATCATGGCAGTGAACAGTACCTTTAACTGGATGTTCAAGTCACAAAAAAAGAAATGATTATTTTAATTAAAGAAGTTGGTAATATTGCTGAACCAAGACCAATATCTGATACGAAGGAACTGAATGAATCACATGACTCAGCTTATTAAAGTTATACCTCAAAAAGCGGCAACTGCCCTCTGCACATCAGTATGCCCACTTGAGGGTTAAATATGGAGTAATCATAGGGGGTACCAGAAAATGATTTTGCCCAGAGCGCTACAATGTCTAGAGCCAGTCCTGGAGGAAGGATTTAAATCTGTTAAATAAGAATATGCAGCATTCCAAGGAATAATGGATATTTTCTCAGCAAGGCAACCTTTGTACTACAATTCTCAAAGATGTGTCAGAATTGAATGGGTTCAGGAATGTTTAAGAGTTTGGAGCTCAATCCAACTTACTTTGTTTGAAGGCCCTTGTATGCTGTGGAGTGATCCCAGCAGACAGATGAAGTTTCTATACAATGATGCAGAAACTCTTAGGTGCGCAAAAATGACAACCAGATGTACTTTGTGCTTTAAGATTAAGGAAACAATGGTAACTGGTGAAACAGGTGTCTGTATGTGTATATATGTGAGAAGGAAAAAAATTGTGGGTTGTAGAAAAAGACTTGGAAAAAGCCTTCAGGTATGCATGTTACAAATAACCAGACCATCACAACGTGTTTTTTTTCTGGCATCCCATTTAATTTATTTCAAATTTCTTACAGTTTAGCAATCAAACAAAATAAAGAAAACAGCATTCTGATTTCTAAACAGGAGTAAATTGTAAGCATCAGCTTCCAATGGCAGTATTTACATGGAAAGTATCTGAATTTTTCTTTGATGGGTATTGAAAGAAAATAGATAGCACCAATTATTATTAATTACTAAATGTTGCAGTAGGAAAACTGGATGCCTCCCACAGGAAAAATAAAACAAAACAAAAATGTTGATTTATATTCCCAGAACATGAAGTGTTTTCAGTATTTTTATCACTATAGTTCTAGGTTTATTCCTGAAGAAGTATCTACAGTTAAGAGTATAAACTTAAGGGGTAGGTGATATTCCTCTTTAAGGCACCGATACTAGTTTCTAAATTGCTAGAATGGAAGTGGAAAGTAAATAAAAAGGAACAAATATTTTCTTCCCAATGAGAAGAATATTTGTTGGATGAATTTGGATTTGGAATATACCAAACATAAATGTTTAAAAAGCACAAATAATCAAGGTTTTGCCTGATAAGAAAATAATGGTTTTCATTCACTGCAATGATCTGTTATCACAATGGTTTTATTCCTTTATGTACTGTGCCTGCTGGGAAAACTTCTCCAGTGCAATTTGAGATTTACTTTATCACATTCACTTACAGCATTGCCTTTTTTTCTTCACAGAATCTTGTCACCAAAAGCATATTAATTCTTTAGCATATATGCTTTCCTACTAGGAATAATCCACCGTCTACAATTTGCTCCGGAAAAATATTTGTTTAAATTCAAATTTAATAATAATAGATTTAAATTTAAATATCAAAGTTAATATTTAAATTTCAACTCATTTCCTCTACCAGTTTCTGTCTTGCAACATGAAACATTGATATTTGTTTTATATTCTCTCTTGAAGCAAGTGTGTATATATACCTGCCTATGGATCTGAGGTACTGACATTCTCAGTAATTCACAATTTTCCCCCTCATTTTCACCAGAGATTGTGGAAATATGGCTATATGCCTCACATTATGCCATAGAGGGAGTGCTGCAGTTTTGGGAGGGGAGGCAGGTAGAGAAGGAAGGAGATTCTTTCAAGGCATCAAGCATAATGGAACAACAGGCATTGTGTGCATGAAAAGGACACAGTGAAATGGCAAGCTGGCCAAAGGAGAACTCTGTTACCAGAGAGAAGCCCAGTCATTTTTCTAACGTCATTTTTCTGCTGTGTTCTTACAGAAAAAAAAGATGGAAATGTTTCATTTTTTTTCTCCTCCAATATATATGGCATTAAAAAAAAAGAACATACACAAAACCTCCTGTCTTCAACAATTATACTAATAGCAACTATTCAGTAAATATAAATTGGCATATATAATACAAGAAGACATAATACATGCAACTGCTTCTCATTATTTTCAACATTTCCATGATCCACCCAGAAGCAAAATCAAACTCAAGAGGGTGAAATGGTTATCTGAGAAACTTAATTCATTACTGGGAACTGAAAGTTCAACACCATATCTCTCCTAGCTCCCAGATTTGATTATTCTATACAGGCTTGTATGCATATCAATGAACATATACATATAATCTGTCCACTTTCAAGGTTTACAAAGCACTATATTTAGTGTCGTTTACTTACAGAGACACAGGCACTGCTCATCTTGGACCTACGTCATTTAGGGTAGGGAGAATGACTGGTCTACTCATGGGTTTTAAATGGGTTTTTGCTTCTTAAGAGTTATGAAGTCTAAGTCTAAGAGGCAGCAGGATGCTGAATAATAATCCGTGGCATTGAATTCTCAGTGAATAAGGCTACACATTGATGTTTTAACATTTAATGGTGGGGTGGTGGTAGCAGGGTTTTGCACTTTTGTAAACCTTCTATTAAATACAGTGCCTTCTAGGACAACATGGTGGCAGTGTGTAGCTCCTTGCTGGCCATGCCTTCCAAGAAATATTGATCCCTAAGCAAAGATTCTCTTTAGTCCTTTAGCTATAACACACCTAAAATGGGACCAACATGGACAGAATGCAGGACTCTGTGTAGCAGGCACAATGTAGTATTTACAATCTTTGGTCTTTGGCTTGGGTGGTGAGAAAGAATTAGGGTAAGGATTATCTCATTCAGCCTGGTGGGAGCAGGAGCACATATGGGTGAAGAGGTCAGGTTAACTCTTTGTCCTGACCTTGTTTTCTTTGCTCCTTCTGGCAAGAGTAAAAGTGATTTAGAAGAGTTTGGGTAGAGTTGGGAGCAGGATAAGAGAACGCCTGAGATACCAAACCTTTCTATCCACCACCTTTATTGTATTTGCCCAATGGTGCAAGCAACTGAGATAAATGTATAGCCCAGATTTCCCCCACCCCTATCCCAAAAATCACTGGGGATTTGCTGGAACATCAACACGAAGGGGAAAAAAAATCAGAATGCATTAAAACCCATGTAAAATCCAGCACTGAGAATAGGCCAAGCCACATGACAGACAGTAGGAATGTGTCCAACTATTGCACTTGAAAGGCTGGTGTTCCCCTGTCGTCCTGCTCATAGTCAGCATAGAAGAGGTGGCATTCAGGATCTCCACGGATGGTAGGCGACCCCAAGATGGTTTTCCCAGTGTTGGGATTAACACACCAACATTCTCCTCGCTGGCCATTCACTGACATTTTGCACTAAAACAGAGAGGGGAAGCAGAAGAATTGATAATTCAGTTGGCTAAATAGACCCTACTATAGTTGACAGTCATGACAAATGATTGCTCATTCTTCCAAAATCACTAGGATTTATTATTCAACCATAGTATCTGCTGAATAGTGAAACTATTAAAACCATTCTGTTTTCTTAGGATGTTTAAAGCTAGCCAATTCGATAGACTAGAACATCAAACTGGAAGAAGTTGATTTATTACAAGATTTGGAGGATCAAGCAGTCATTTTGTCCGAGATTAACAGTGTAATAATAAAAAGTCAGCCTGCCAAATTTGCAACTTGGACACTTCCTATTTAAATTACATGTCACAATCACATGTAATTAAGAAAATGATGCTGATGAAATTCTAGTTCTATCCATTAGAGACTACTTTCTTCTATTTGATTTAAAAATAGTAGAAAAATGTCATGTTTTGCAGCAAGAAGTAAAATTAGAATAATAGATTTTGCTTTCAATGAGAACTGTGAATTCTGACAAGATTTTGCAACACTCAATAGATTTCATCATGGGTAATATTTATGTTTATTCAAAGCAACTATAAAAGCCATTCCCCAGCGAGCATTGGGAAATGAATAGGGATAGAAAAGCAGATATTTGGAGAGGGGGGTGGCAACAATATTTTTTAGGTCCGTGAGACTCAACCACTTACAGTATTTTATATTGTTCTCAGACTATGGCTTAGCTTATTATGTGAACCAAGCATTGTTGTTTCCAAACTAGGTTTCATGGCTTAGCATGTAGTATAATTTCAGTCAATTCAATAAATCTTGTCCTCATACAATAAATTAATGAGAGTTACTGTGTTTTTCAGTAATCTTTGTTTTCATCCTCTGCCATGCATTGGTTGGAACATCTAATATGACAGAATTATGTCATTAGTATGTTGAATTTGAGAACATAAAGAAATTCCGTAGTGCGGGTTTGATTACTTAATCCATAAAAAAAATTGTTAGAGCCTTCCAGAGTCAATAATGCAAAAAACGGGCATTTTTGCTTGGATCAACTAGCAGAACATTGTAAATACACCCCTGCCTTTCTGATTTAAGGATTGGAGGAGTAAGTCATCAAAGATTTGTTCAAATCAGTTTTAATGGCTTGATTGCAAATAAAATTTATTTGAATCTAGATCCAGTATTAATCACACCTCCCAGATAGAAAATGTATGGTCAATGGGAATCAAATGAGCAAAGCAGTCAACCACACACTACTTCTTCTTGCCCATACAGCTTGCATTTTTCTGTATTTCTAATTCAAATATGATTAAAACTCTCTAGCAATGCTTATTTTCTTTTGCAGATCAAGTAGTGAATCCCTACTTCCATATGTATCTGTTTGTAATCACGTAATAGTTCCTTCAGGGCACTAAACAATTGAAGGGACATTGTCCACAGCCATGGGTGTGAGCCTGCCAAAATAATTAGACCTCTGAAGACATTGGAACCCTAGCCCTTTGTCTTACAAAAAAGAAAGTTACATCAAAGAAACCACACCCTACATTGATGTTCATACTCTGTATGTCTAACAGGAGGTTGTAAGGAAAGAAAATGTATTTTAGAAAGGAAAAACTGGATGGATTATTGATGCATCATTAGAAAATGGCAAGAAAATGGCACCTAGGGATATCTGAAATGAGAAAAAGCTTCTGGCTCTATGATCCTGCCAAGGAACCTTGTTGCCTGGGTTATTTGTGGACATGGATCCATCCTTTGTTCCTCTAAGGTAGTGGTCCCTACCTTTCCAATGTGATGGACCAGTGGGGGGAGGATGGTTCCATACAAGCGGCAGGGCACACATGCACTTGCCACTTGTAAGGCCTGGTTCCTAACAAGCTGTGGCCTGGGATTGGGGACCTCTGCTCTAGGACTTAATCTAGAAACTATATTTTCTCAGGAACAAGATATTTTGCTTGGCATTTAAATTCAAGAATCCAGAGTCCTTTTGACAAGTAGCTGATGTTCTCCCTAGGGACTTTAAGAACATTTTCTAAAAAACAGAGTATGCATTTTTGAACAATCTCCATATAGTTCATGCCAGCAATCAAAATTAGGACATGGTTCCTCTCTCATGATAAGAACACCTGTCCCTTTACAAACTCACTACTTTTGATGTATCGATATCCCCAGTAATTTCATGAGAAAAGTAAACATTTGACATAATATTGTTCTTTCTGGATATGGAGATCTAGCAAGGTGTCACCAATGTGGTGAATTTTCTAAATGAAGAACAAATATGTACAATGTACAAATCAAATATGCCTGCCATGTCATGACCCTTAGCTATTTTTCAGATTCCAGTGTATAAGGATGACAAAAAAGAGGAAAATAGGATTCCAAAATTGATGGGAAATCAGAAGAGGAATGCTTTAAGAAAATAGCAGAATGAAAAGTCTGTATATTGTGGAATTTCCTACTCCAAGAATCCCAAGTGAGCATGGAGACAGTCAAAGATGTGGGCTAGCAACATTTTTGTGTTCTACACAGGGTTTTTTTTTGGCTATTTTTAAAATTAATTAATTCCACTCAGTTTTTTAAAGCTTGACAATGAAATAAAAGGCAATAAAATCACAACTCAGAAGATAAGAGGTAGACTCTAATCTGGGCAACTCACTAATTACATAGAAGCAGCAAAACCTCGAGGCTCCAGAAATAGTTTACCACATCTACAATGGGCATAAAATTAAAATATTTAATGCAAAGCAGGCATTGCATGCCAATGGGGATGTGAAAACAATACAAGTACGAAAATATTCTCTCTTCTATGATTTTCCTTTGAATGTCTATAATAAATTCATTCTATTTAAAATAATTGTTTATTAATACACCAATAACTGAATGATACACCACTGCATGATCATGTGTTCGGTTTTACATGAATCTGCTTAGAGTGGAATTATGCATTGAATTTTTTACTATGTTTTCTGCAGTCTCCCAAGTACTCTTCTTACCTGTTTGAGATTGTAAAGTCCTTGCTTATCACAATTTGGGATGTTCAGGGAATAAAGATGTTCTAATGGACCACGTTCATCTGGCAGGCGCATGGTTGATATACGTTCCAAAACCTGGTCCAATTCCTGTTGACAGGGTGTCTGCAATGCACGAACAAGGCAGAAAGAGAAAACAGAACAGAAAAGCTCAGAGCATATCAAAGTTCATGTTCTGGGTTTTTGTTTAAGAAAGAGAATACAATTGCGCTTGGCTTCTGAGATACGTATGTCAAGGTTTGTCATTGGTATGCTCAGTTTGCATTATTATTTTAAAAAAATATTACAATTTAGAAGCTGCCCAACTCCAAACAACTCTGTGGAGTTTATATATTAAAAGTAATGAATTATAAAAACCAAAGGAAAAGATAATGAACATCCAGAACAACCCAATACCTCTCAAAGGAGAACAGGATGCGATCCCATATACTGGCTAGGACTTGCCACACCTGAGAGTAAAACCAAAGTTTCAAATACTTATGGAACACCCTCACAATGAGAGCCATATGGATTGCTGGGGAGATGGTGTTGATGCTTGCTTAACATAACTTTATAGATTTGAATCTAATAATATAGATATAATTTTAAAATGTGACCACTGTTTGCCTCCACCTCAGAAAAGTATATTACCATAGCTCTTTGCACTTAATATAAGCTTTTTTTAATACAGTGCCCTGTGGGATGTATTTCACTTGTAGCCTTTCTCTTTGACTAAGATCAGAGGTGGGCTGCACATACTGTAACAACTGGTTTGCCTAGTGCAGAACCAAAAATGTGAGCGTGCGCGCACGCCCCATTTGCTTGTGCACAGCTGCAAAAACACAGAGATTTCCTGCACGTGGCAGTTGCGGTGAGTAGATTGGGTGAGGCGCAGAAAGCAGCTGGGCTGCGTGGGCGGGACGAGTGAGCCAGATATATAGGATGGGATAGCACTGGGGCGGGTGCAGAGGTGGTATTCAGCAGGTTCTGACCAGTTCTGGAGAACTGGTAGCAGAAATTTTGAATAGTTTGGAGAACCAGCAAATGCCACCTCTGACTGCAGATTTTACAGTATCCTTCCCCTGCCATGCCCACCAAGCCATGCCCGTAGAACCAGTAGTAAAAAAATTGAATCCCACCACTGGGCAGGTGGGCAGGCCCAGCTGGTGGTCAGAACTACTGGTATGGGCAAGTCGGTCCAAACTGGCAGCTGCCCACCACTGGCTAAGATCAACCATGCCATGGCACTCTCATATAACATTGCTACCACAGGAAGTGCAATTACTCCCAGCAGGTTTCTGGGTGTAATTCAATGTGCTGGCTGTCAGTTTAAAAAACCCACCTGGCATGGGGCAAGATTACTTGTTGGCCTGCTTATCTTTAATGTTTTGTCCATCCCACCAGGTCTGTCAGAGTGGGCTTGGGTTTCTTTGATGAAGTAAAACTAGTGGGTTCTTCCACCAAACACGTCAGCCAGGATGTTAACAAGTTCTGGCACCGGTGTGTGTAATATGTTGCTACTGAGATTTTCACAGAGGCCTTGACTTGGGTTTTTTTAAAAACACATTTTGATAATTGTATTATGCCTTTACCTCTGTTCTTCACTCACAAGTTTCTTTTGTTAGATGGATGGATATTTGAATTTGAGTAATAACTAACTACTTAACCTCCCATGATCACTTGAAAATAATTTGCCATGATTCTTTTATCTTTAGGTAGCAAGGAGATGTTTTTTTTTATATATAGCAAAGACTCTACCACTATCACTTCAATAAATTATAATCGGAGCTTGCCTGTTTTATCAGTGCTTATTCTTCAATCCATCTTGAGCTTTCAAGAAAATAAAGCACCACATGCCAATTGTTTAACCCACACACAGACAGAAGCCTCAAAAGCTTTCGAGAGACTGTGAAAACCAATTTCAGAGCCTGTCAGTTTCTGTCCAAGAAACATCCTGAATAGTCTTCAGCTACTCAGACTTTGCCTGGATTTGGGCCAGTTACAAAACAGTGAAGCCAATTAGACCAGCCTAAATATGGCACTATGAACGACAGAGTAAGAGAGGGGAAAACCTCATGCATTGCTAGTATAGCAAAACCAAAAGGGATGGTGTAAAGCACAGCTAGCTGGTATCAATTTTACCTGAGGGAAAAGAGCAAAGGCTGAATGAGAAAATCTACAACTAGAAATAATCCCTTTACACCACACTACGCCACCTGTAATCCTAATTGACAATCCCGTGTGCCAAAATCTTTCTGGGCCATGCCAAAATTCTTCAAATTTATGGAAAGAGATGTTCTGTTCTGATCTGTTAAGTATTATTTTCTCTTTCCCCCTGACAGTCTTCTCTAAAATTCCCTACCTTATCTAATTAAGGCAAATTGAGAGACCTATTGTAGTTTCTGATAGAATTTCTGCTGAGTTACAAAGCATATTAAATTTTCAGAGCACATGTATATTAAGTTTTTTTTAACAGTAAAGGTAGATAATCAAAAACAGGTTAGCCTCCATCTAAGACACTTGATAGCACCCACTTAATTCATCATTTTCTGCAAAAAATCTCAGTAACCAGTAGGCATTACGTGGTTAGAATTCTAGAGTTGCACAGTCCATATTTTGCCATCTAAATGAACATATCTTTCTTCACTGATATCCTCCATAAACTTGTTTAAAGAATAACATGCATCTAGGTGAAAAACTATTGCTACCAGCTGAATAATATAATAAAATATGTTGCTGTTGTTGTTGTTGTTGTTCACAAACAGAATCTAATTAAAAAAAGAGATGATCAGAAGTGAAAACAATTATTCTGTCTGATTACTTTTGATATGGCTCCAGTGATGTTAATGCACACTTGTAAACAGATAGAAAAGTCGGCTATAAATGAATGTCAATATTTTATTTTTATCTACTTTATTTATTGAACATATATATGTCAGCCTAGCTTACAGACAATAATCGTAGGCATTCAAAACAACAGCAAACAAAAACAAAAGATAAAACAATAATTTCACAGGGAACATCACTTCCTATGACACTGTCACAACATCCCTACACTGGCTGGGCTCATTCCCTTGATGACTCAATGCCTGGGGAAACAGCGGTTGAACAAGATAAAAGTGGGATGCTGAGATGGGAGATGGACAGATCAGAATTTTATCTCAGATTCCAAAACTTAAAAAAAAAATGCCTGGGTAAATAGCCAGATCTTTACAGCTTTCCTAAAGACAAAAATCACCTGGTTCTCTGCCTGCCCAATAATATTCTGGGAAATAGGTAGACTGATTGCACAACAAAACCCTCACCTATAACTTAATCATCATTTTATCCACCCAATTCAACAACACTTTTTAATTCTATTGTTACCATCATATGTCACTACCAACCAAATTACTTTTTAGCCTAATCCCAAGAATACAGGCCATCCTTGACCTTCAGCCACAACTGAGTCCAAAATTTCTCTTGCTAAACAAGACCATTTTTAAGTGAAAAATAGCTGTAAAGATCTGGTTATTTATTGCCACAGTGGCTAAGTGAATCACTGCAGTGGTTAACTTAGTAGCATGGTTGTTAAGTGAATCTGGCTTCCCCATTGACTTTGCTTGTCAGAAAGTCACAAAAGGGGATCACATGACCCCAGGTCACTGCAACCATGAATAGATATGAACCAGTTGCCAAGTGTTCAAATTTTGATCACATGACCATGGGGATGCTGCAATGGTTATAAGTGTGGACACACGGACAAGGGAAGATCAGTTGCTCCTTGTAAAGAGAAGAGCAACACAAATGATTAGGGGATTGGAGGCCAAAACATATGAAAAATGGTTGCAGGAACTGGGTATGTCAAGTCTAATGAAGAGAAGGACTAGGGGAGACATGATAGCAATGTTCCGATATCTCAGGGACTGCCACAAAGAAGAGGGAGTCAAGCTATTCTCCAAAGCACTTGAGGGCAGGACAAGAAGCAATGGGTAGAAATAATCAAGGAGACAAGCAACTTAGAACTCAGGAGAAATTTCCTGACAGTTGGAACAACTTGCCTCCAGAAATTGTGAATGCTCAAACACTGGAAGTTTTTAAAAAGATGTTGGATAACCATTTGTCTGAAATGGTGTAGGGTTTCCTGCCTAGGAAGGGGGTTGGAGTAGAAGACCTCCAAGATCCCTCCAAGGTTCCAACTCATTCTATTCTATTCTATTCTATTCTATTCTATTCTATTCTATTCTATTCTATTCTATTCTATTCTATTCTATTCTATTCTTCTGCTCTGTTCCGTTCTGCTCCTCTCCCCTCCCCTCCACTCTGAGACTGCACATCAGTGATCCATGGTGGGTTTTGAGCACTCAGAAACGACAGAAATACCTATCTGGCTCACAGTTGCTGTTAGTGCCTTTCAAAGGACAGTAAGTTCACAATCTTCCTCTTCTATTCATGTTCAGAAATTGGCAATTAACTACTTTTAAACCATGGGTATTAGAGACTTTTGGATTGATAAGTCCAAAAATACTAGATGAGTTTGCCATACATCTTCAATGAAAGAAAAAATTAATAATAAATTTAAGAATTTTTAAAAATTAAAATAAACAGCAAAAAGCTAAATACCACTCTGATTCTAGAAAGTTATAAAGGGATTAAGGACATAGATAAATTTGGAATAAGATTTTCAAATACTGAAGGATGTTCTTGAAAATCGAAATCAGAATTTAGTATCAACAATATTAATAGTGATGTTTGCTTCCATAGATAGAGATGGCAGAGATGGCATCAAAAATGGATCAGGCTATGAGAATGATATAGAAAAGATCGCCTCACTGCATATTCAAAAGAAATATGATGTTTCAAAAATTAAAAGGGTAATACAAATCATAAACCAAAACAGTGACCTGCATATTTTATTTATTTTTTATGTTGGATTTACAAAATAAGCTTATTAAAGCTTTGAAGAATCTTGTGAGGAAAAAATGATAAGAAATCAAATTCTATGACATTATTTGAATGGACTAAAGCTTTAGATGAGTTGAATTAAAAGAAGTTGGCTTAATTGATCAAGGTTAAAATAAAACATTATTATTTCTGGTAAATATTAATGGATTTCCTGCTGGCATCACAACTGAAAAAATGGTGCTTTATGGATTTGTTTATAGATATGGAATGAAGATATAATTGGCTGTAAACTATGAGATGGCAAAGAATTACTAAAATTATTTATACATGTCATCAAAATTGGAAGTCACTTCTTTATATATTTTCTTTAATTACTATATTATTAATTTCTTTACTACATTATTTTCTTTCTTTTTTGTGCTTTTTGTATTTTTTCTTCTTCTTTGCATCTTTCATTCTTTTTATTATTTTTTAGTTTATTTTAGATTTTACTATTGTACTTAAAATCTTCAGTAAAAAATTACATACCATCTTTTAACGCAAGCATCCCTAAATTAGAAAAGAGTGGGACATAATTCTAGAAAAACCTTCAGTCAAATCTTATACGGTGCCACTCAGAGAAGATTAGAATCTTAAATGGAACTATTAGATCCTTGAAACTACCTCATAGTAATACTAGTTAATTTCATATTACTATTTATCAACTCACCCTAACAGGTTGTAGACGTATGTCAGGCTTATGCTTGGTCATCAGCTTTTGCTGCTCATTCGTTTTGTCACGAAGTATGGCTATTTCCTTGCCATTTTTCACAGGAGGCTTTAACCTTCCAAACACCACAGTAGAGGCACCATCTACAACGTTTTCCACAACAGATACTTCAGGATGTTCTTCGTTATCTAACAGAGAAAAGAAATATGTTAAAATAAAGAAAAGCCATTAGTTACCCAGCCTCAGAAAAAGTTCCTATAGATTCATTTGTGGAACACTACCTCTAATTAAAATATGGGGTGGGTGGGGTGGGGAAAACCAACTATGATAGTTTGAGGAAATATCCTCATCCTTATATGGAAATCATAAAGGGTTTGTTTCTGTTTTTGATGAGACAATTCCTTGCTGCCAAATAGGTTTCTGTGGCGACAAACTCATCATTCCATTTCAAATGCTTGGTTGTAACAAATTGACAAGGTTTTTAATAATGCATTAATTTCAAATCAAAAGCCATGCATGACTGAATTACAGGGGGAAATTTAGCTAAAGACACAAAATATAATGTACCATCTGTACTAAGAAGAGAAAGAAAAGTATCGCAGAAATTGTTAAGTGCCTGGTCTTAACATGGTGCTTGTTGTGGATCCATTTCTCCTAAGATATAGCGGACCAAGTTACCTCCTGACCCATCATTCTCAAACTATCATTGTATTTAAAGCAGAACAAAGTGAAAGGGAGTGTGAGTGAGCGTGTGTGTGTGTGTGTGTGTGTGTGTGTGTGTGTGTGAACAAATAAAGGAACAAGACAGATTGTCTTCATGGTCACATAAAAACTCTTTGGGAAAATAATAAAATCTAAAAAGAAATACAGCACCTGTAATTGTATATAAATAATGCTAAATAAATAAATAAAAAAGCAATAAAAGGATCTGCATTCTTTATAACCAAACTTATTGACATACTTTCAAGGAGGTAAAAGGTTGGAAAACAGAAACAGTGAAATAGAAACAGAATATTTCTTCAAGGAGAAAAGTCCCAATGACTAGGCTATCATAATAATGTGTGTGTGTGTGTATGTGTGTGTATAATATATATATATTATATTATTATATATGTGTGTGTGTATGCATGTGCATGTGTAGATTTTCATTCCACTGAGGTTACAAACTGATCCATAGAACACATGAACTTTTGGCATCATCCTAACAGTAACACAATGATTTTTTTTTTAAAAAAACCCTCTGGTTGACAACATAGCAACTGTTAATATAATAGGTCTGGTAGCAACAGAAGTCAATCAAATTTGCACTCAAGTCCTTTACTTATGACCACATTTGACCCCAAAATTTCTGTTGTTAAGTGAGATATTTGTTAAGCGAGGTTTGCCCCCATTTTACAACCTTCCTTGCCACAGTTGTTAAGTGAATCACTGCAGTTGATAAGTTTAGTAACCCGGTTGTTAAGTGAATCTGGCTTCCCAATTGACTTTGCTTGCCAAAAGAATGCAAAAGCTATTCACATAACCTTGGGACACCGCAATGGTCATAAGTATTAACCACTTGCCAAACATCTGAATTTTGATCACATGATCATGGGGAAGTTTCAAAAAGTCATTACTGTGAAAAATGGTCATAAGTCACTTTTTTCAGTGCCACTGTAACTTTGACCGGACATTAAATGAACTATATTAGTAAGCCTGTATTTGATACATTTCAAAGGGTTTTTTTTAAAACATATTACCTATTATTTTTGTGATGAGGTAGCATCTTTTTCACCAGCTAATAAGCTCACTCCCCCTCTCAGAAAAGAGTTACTGCTGTTAGTGACTATACTTGCTATGAGACTGACAGTGTATTCTGGAATTCTTGTATTGAGATAGGACTGATAGTAGGCACAGCTCTGTAAACCATAAAGCTAGGACAAAATTGTAGTTTTGTTTTATTTAATATTTGGCCAATCAAGTCCTCACAGAGTTAAATCAACCACACTTACATCCTTCTGTGTCTACAGAATTCTTAAAGCCAATGACTAAGTAGATTGACAACTTGAATTCCTTATGCAAACGTTGGCTTTCTTAGAAAAATAAAATGCTCTGTTCTTGTCATTCCAGGCTATTGATCATACAACACATCTACTACATAGCTAACATTTGCAATTTTGGCATGGAACATTCTTGGTTACTGAAGGTTGAAGGAATGAGATTCCTACTTGATCATGGCATAAACATAGGATAAAGACTTCAAATAAATTCATATGTCTAGGCCAGGTAGTTTGTATTCTAAGCCATTGCCAGAACTTGCTCTATTATTTTTGGGAAATCCTTACCAGGTTGTAGCCATTTTGAAAAATGGGGAAAAAAGGAATCCTGGGGAACTGGCCTCTGTCAGCTTCCTACTGATTCCAAGAGAATTTTACAACAGATTATAAAGTAATTGAAGTATCCATACTATAAAAGGGATGTTGAGTTCCCTAAAAGTCAGAGCAGCTTTGTCAAGAACACATCACTAGCGCATACTGTGACAGTTGAAACCAAAAAGGAGTCGGTTGCAACAAGTTTTAGTTTTAGAATTTGTGGTTTAATCACTGCTAGGTTGGAAAACTAGATTTTTAGCCTGATCCAAGAGTATGGATAGCCTTTCAGATAATTGGGGTCATTATTAACCCTACTCCCCCAATACATTATCTTCTGCCCTTATCCAATCTTTTTAGCAGGACAGTAGGAGTAAGGAAAGGATTGCTAAACAGGCTAATGAACAGTGTGTTCTGATGCGTGGTTGCTTAGCGAGAGCCTCTTATTCTCCTGGACTGCTGCTGGCAAGGGGATGATCCAAATGGGCATCCAGTGACCTCCTTTGGCTGTAACCTTCCCCAGGAAGTGCTTTCAAGCCCTTCAAAAGCACATGGAAACAGTGGCTTGACAATCCCTCTTCAGCCTGAGTAAGTCCAGCTTTAGCAGCCTGCCCTACTTGTTCATTTTGCTTTCTTTCCATTGCTGAAGGTACAGATTGGGGGCTGAACAATTGATTCATTCTTCCCCATCCTTCCTCTAGGTCAATGTCATGCAATCCTCATCATTTATTCAACTTATAGCGCAGGATAAAGGTCTCAGCTGCGTGTATGCCCTTGTTGTGGCAAAATTGCTGCATCACCCTCTCCTAAATTTCTGCTGGAGACATAAAAACTTACATTTGCTTGGAGAGATAAACACCAAGTGGACATTTTTGTAATTCCCACTCTGGCGCAATATAATGAGTAAATCGAAGAAACTCATGTTTCACAATGATATTCTTACTTTACTTAGCAAGACCCCCTAAATCAGGAAAATATCTTAGTATGTTTTAAATGCAATTCATGGTATCCTCACATTGTGATTTGGATTTCAGCTACTTGGATTTTTAGAACTTTGATTCTAACCTTGACATAGAAATGGCTTTATAAACATTGAATAGTTTTTCAGGATTTTATGTGAAGAGATGTCCAGCCCTTTCTGATTCAGGGATCACAGGTGGGTGAAGTTTACTGGTGGAATCAGTGCATGGTAAGCATACATGCATGTATGCACATATATGCATTTTTAAACAGCTTTCTACAGTCAAACATTTCCAGAAACATGCCATACTATCTATGTGCTTAAAATCCACATTTAAAATTTATTGTTCCCTCCACTCCACCTATAAAATGAAAGGGAGTTCTATTTCAGTTCACCTTTAAAGTGGATTATTATCATTTTCATTTTGTGATGTGCAACTAGTTGCAGACGTCCCATAAAGGAGATTAGAAAGAATCTCCTTTGGATGGTTTGGCATAAGGTCTGTTACAAACATCTAAGTTACAAGCAGAATTGGTTGAGAACAGAGTGTCCCGGAGAAAAATCTATGTGGTTACTAAATGATGAAATTGATTTAATGGAACATAATCAAATCAATCAAATTACAAGTATATTAATAGTCATTTTGTTACTTCTGTTACGCTTCTGAGAGGAAACAATCAGCTTTGGGGAAAAACAAATAAAAAGTGAAGGGTTTTCATGCCTTCAGTAATACAGTCTGACCTCAGTTACACCCAACTGACTTTTTTTGAAGGTTTGGGGAAGTAAATACATGTACTGCAACCAAAAGTTTGCCTTTACATTAAAAAGCTAAACCCCTAAGGGAAGAAATGCCAATGCTCCACATCAAGCAAATAAAATAAAAACACAAAAGGATCAAATATGAGTTTTACTCTCCCCTTTAGAGCTATCTACATGTCTGTCTTTGCTTTTTAATCCTATGGCTTCAAGCCAACATGTCTAAATGTGATTGGCTTTGAAGCCACATTACACTTCTTTATTCTGTATTTTCCAAACAGTAACTCCACCCAGGGCGTTATGTTTCTTTTCTCATTTCAGTCTTATTTTTCTTAGCTTGCCTTTTCTAAGATCATAAACAACTATTGTGATGTTATTCTAATTTTATCTTCCATAAAATTTGAAATCAATTGCATTTCACCATTTATGGGATTTTGCATTTATATCAGACCTAGAGAACAACTGGAATGTGGCTGCCTGCACTATGGAGAGTGCCCTTAGGTTTTTCCAATAATACCTCTGTTGCATGAGCTGCATTGGCTTCCAGTTTTTTTCTGGGTGCAATTTAAGGTGTGGACCATCACTTTTAAGGCCTACATGGCACAGGGCCAGGTTATCTGCAGTACTGCCTTTCCCTAAGGATAGCTACCCATCCTACCAGGATAGATAGGTGGGCATGCTCCTAGCCCCTTCCTTTAAAAATTGCCATCTTATGGGAACTAGGAAAAGTGCCTTTTCCATGCCAGCCCCTGACCTATGGAATTCCCCTTCCCCTGAAGTTTGTCAGGCTTCTACCCCCCCTCGCAACCTTCTGAAAAGAACTGAAGATCTGACTGTCCCCTCAACTACTGGGAAAAGACGAGGTGATTCACATTGGAAGCTTTGGCTTGGTACCAAGTTTTTGTTTTTAGGTATTTGGACTGAATAATTTAAATATGGGTTTTTAATGTTATTTTAGTTTTTGATTAGGAGCCACCAAGAGTTTGTTGTAAGATAGGCAGCTATATAAATGTTTTAAGTAAGTAAATAAAAATAAACAAACAATTTTTGAGATCACAGTCTTAATCACCACCATCACCAATCAGGCTGTAGATAGTGCATATTCAGCACTCCCATCACTTAA